ACAGAGAGATTACTATTGTTCTAGTGAAAATGATGCCCACTTCAGAAGATACAAAGGAACATAAGGGGGTCGTGCAACACAAGTCAGCAGCACAGCGTCACTATAAAGAATAAGCTTGCATTGAAGCTCCTGCTGGTGATTGTAATTTTACTCTCAGGATATACAGAACATCAGTTATCAGCCAATATTAGAGGGTTTTTTATTTATTAGTTCAAACTGGATATTTGATAGTGTTTATTTTCCCTATTTTTACTATGAGAATACCTTTTCATCATGTAACACTCACTTAAAGTTAATATTAATATGTAAAAACATTAATCATTTAAAACTGTGAAATGTAATTTATAGCAAATCTCCAAAAGAATAGGCCTATCCATTAAATTATAATGTTGTGATGCCTAAATTCACTAAAATTACTGATTTTAGTTTGTAATGCTTTATTTTTAATTTATTTAGACAAACTAGTATAGAATTGTAAAATCTGCCATTGATATCATCTATAATTAAACATAAATACGTTTTCTGGTGTTTAGGGCTAATAATATCTTTGCTACTCCCTCAGGATTACCTCAATGTGACTGGACAGGCCATGCTCAACACTGAATAGGCATTGTTGATGTGTATATGTGGGCAGCCGTGTGTTAATAAGTTTAGGTTTCTGATGTTAGAAACAAGCCATTTTGGCAGCACAGTTTTAGTACATGGTCTTTTTAGACTTTCTGGAGGACGTTTTGAGTAAAACTGCAAGTTTTCAAGTACAATGAACTCAAAAGAACAAGAACATTTTAATTTACCAGGATATGAGAATAACCGGCAAAAACCTCATAACTTCCTATACTATTATAGCATTTTGAATTAGCTTTTATTTTTACATTTTTACTTTTCATTTCAATTTTAGTGTACGTTTTAGTAATTTTGCTAAGTGGTTTTATTCGCTTTTTTAATATTTGTATATAGCTTTAACTTTTACTTCAGCTGTGCCTTTAGCAATTTTAGTACTTCAGCTTCATCTAATATTCACATATCAGTTAGTATTTCAACTTGATTTCAATTAGTGAAAATGATTTTTAATAGTTTTAGTTTAACAATAACAAGACTGCTTTCTACAATCAAGTTACAGCACAAAATATCATATTACACACACATTTACAAATCAACACACTTCACATTCACATGCTGGACTGAAAAGTGAATAACTAACATGACAGAAGTAGATCAGCTTTTCTGCTGTAGCTATTTTATTCATAGTTGACATTTCTGTGTCTTGTGTCGTTCAGTTACCTTCTGTTTTCTTGCATTCCGATAGTCTCTGACTGACTTCAGCGGGACTGAACCAGTCCGAATGTGTCAGCTCTGACAGCTTAATTGAACGTGAGGATTATGGCAGCTACAGTGAGCTAATATTAAGCCCTTCTTAATATTAAGAAATCTATCAAATCTGCCATAACACACAACAGTCACACAGGTTTCAGACTCGATGTGTTGTGACCTATTTTGCAGTGTGTAATCTGAATAATGGCAATTCTTGTCATTCAATACAAATTCATTCATCCTCTTATTCTCTGACACAATCAAACATCAAGAGAGATCAACAGCTTGAAATTGCATTCAAAACAGCTGCTTCCAGATCTACGTTTCAGCCCACCACAAACACTTCAAGCTGACAACTGACCCACAATATACAGAGGTCACAAATTTAGATGTGGTTGTAGGATGCAAAGTATCTCTCTTCAAAACACTCAACACACATATATGCTCACTTAAAAAACAAAAACACTTAACACTCAAGTAAACACAAGAGATGAAGCATGACAAAAACACAAAGGCTAGACACACTGACTGACTGACAGATGCATCTTTCACAAAAAAAGGAAGTGTGTGTGTGTTTTAATGGGGGTTTATATGTCACTAAAACAAATAGAGCAAACAAATCAATGAATCACTGTTGCTTTAGTATTATTTGTATACTAATATAGTATTTATTAATATTTTGATTTAACAATTTTTAATGGTTTTAGTTAACAATAACAACATTGCAGTGACTTAAAAATATTCACCAGAAAACTGACAAAACATGTCTGAGTGTTGTTAAAGGGGTCATATGATGCGATTTCATTTTTTCTTTTCTCTTTAGAGTGTTACAAGCTCTTGGTGCATAAAGAAGATCTGTAAAGTTGCAAAGACTAAAGTCTCAAATCCAAAGAGATATTCTTTATAAAAGTTAAGAGTTAGCCACACCTACCTAAAACGGCTCGTTCGAACACGCCCCCACATATCTACCTCACTATGTGGGAAGATTAGCATAACGCCGCCCAAATGTTCACGCAAAGAAAGAAGGAGTAACTTTTATTCTCGCTGTAGTTTTGTTGCCGCTGCCGCCATGTCGTGAAGACGCTGTGTGCTTCGTTGTGAAAGCGAAACTACTTTGCTTGGTCTTCCAAAAGAGGACGATATCCGCTTCGTCATACCTAGAGCTGATCCGTGCTGGTCGCTGAGGAAATACATCAACTTAGTGCTGTGGATCGCCGGATCGGCCCTCACCGTTTTCACCGCTCCTTCGCCGGGACCGCCGTTCTCGACCCCGCCGCCTCAGCTCACTCTTGCCCGGCTTCAGCTCAGGCTAAGCCAGGGCTTTCGCTCACGCTAGGCCGCTGTGTGCTTCGTTGTGAAAGCGAAACTACTTTGTTTGATCTTCCAAAAGAGGACGATATCCGCTTCGTCATGCCTAGAGCTGATCCGTGCTGGTCGCAGAGGGAATACATCAACTTAGTGCTGTGCATCGCCGGATTGGCTTTCACCGTTTTCACCGCTCCTTTGCCGGGACCGCCGTTCTCGACCCCGCCGCCTCAGCTCACTCTTGCCCGGCTTCAGCTCAGGCTAAGCCGGGGCTTTCGCTCACGCTAGGCCGCTGTGTTTTTCGTTGATAGGTGGCCAATCACAGCACACCTCGCTTTTTCAGGCCGATGAGCTTTGTAAAAATCGACGCGTTTCAAAAAGGCGGGGCATAGAGGAGAAACAATAATGTACAGTATGTGGAAAATAATGTGTTTTTTAACTTTAAACCGCATAAACACATTTCATTACACCAAATACACAAAATAATGTTCTTTTTAGCAGCATCATATGACCCCTTTAAGATAATATATTCACAGTTCCCTAACAACCAAAAATAAGAAAACCAGTCCTACAATAGGGACATGCCCGCCACGTCAGGCCCAGCCAATCAGATAGCATTTCCAAAAGAGGCCACATCCACTGCAGTGGAAGCCCTATAGGGGAAAATCCTACAGAAAAGCTCAGAAGACCAGCTGCTGTAGCTCATTAATCAGCTCATTAAAAACTAAAGTTAATGTCATTTTTATGACAGAGATGTATGAGTGTGTCTAACTGTGATAAGATGATTTGTTTCTCTCAGATTCTGCTCTCAGCTTCAATTATGCGCACAGAACAGACCTTTAAATTAACACATAATTAACTGTAGGAATTCTGTGGTCAAATGTCGTGCTCCTCACACACATACATCAGGCAGACAAAGGGCCTGAAGGAAAATGTGTCTGTGGTACAGTTGTGAATCTTTTATTATGATCAAGAATTCATAAGGCACATCTCTCTCTCTTTATTCCCCATCCATCTCACCATTTGCTCCAGTTCAGGTTGTTTTAAAGGAATAGTTCACCAGAAAATGAGAATTTTCATTGCACACCCTCATGTTGTTCAAAAGCTGAATAACTTTCTTTCTGTGTAACACAAAAGGTGTTAGAATATGTGAATAGAACATAGAATATGTGAAGAATATTCATCATGTGGCTTTCCATTGTGCCACCTGTATTATTATGGTGATACATTTTAAAGCGGATTTTGGTAATTCAAAATACATTACATATCTTAATAAAATATACAATTATTATAAAATACACAGGCATCTCATAATACCAGAAACATTATCACAGTATTTATTACAGTGCAACCATATTTAATGGAATATTTTTTTACAGTGTAGGACTGCCAATCTCCAAAATGACAAAAAAGGAAAATAAAAGCAATCCACAGAAATGACACATTATATTTCCAATCTATAATTGGGGTTATATTTTCCCCCACCTACAATCCCTTTGGGTTACAAATCCGACTCTCTAACCATTAGGCCACGACTTTCCCAAGTGAGGAGGGGTCCGTAATTAAAGACAGAATTCTCTTTTATGGGTGAACTGTCTTTTAAGGTCATTTGCGGACAACACCCATGGTTCATCATATCTATTATATGGGACAGAAACAAAGACAACCTGCATGCCAGCACACATATGGTGCTAGTCAAGCCCGTTTTAATAGTAGCTTCTCTGTTTTGATCTAATGTGTGGTTTAGAAAGAAAGAAAGAAAGAAAGAGAATACTTTGATGACTCATGAGAGCAAATTAGAGAAGCAGCAATCTCTGAAACACTGGGTCAGAACGTTATGTTCCGGTGGCAGTGCATCTAGTAGACCCACTGGGTTATTTTGCACGAGACCGGGCCGTGTTGATGACAGCTCGACCCCTCCGGCAAAACAGATTCATAACAAACCGCGCGTACCACCTCACAGCGCGAGAACGGAACCCTGACGTCACAAAGGCCAAAGAGTTTGTTTGTGTTCGCGGTCAGAACAGAACTGTCAGATCGCGCCAAGCATAACGGAAATTAATAATAATAATAATAATAAACTCTAAAAGACTATCTGTAGTGATGAAAGAGCAATCGGGTCACATTTTAACACTTAACGGTGAATGACAGAAAAGAGTACTAAATCAGCAGAACATCACTGGATTTGTGCCACCGTGATCCGATGCTGACACCGGTCCAATCAGACGCGCTGGATCAGTGCACCACAATGATAGTCTAACTAGTTCTAGTTCACACACCCTTTCTCTGTCTCACACAGACACACACCACTCCCTGTCGCCGTGCACCTGCCCGCTCGCTCACAAACAGCCCACCTGGGTCCACCGATCTCGCGCGACTCTCACCTGGGGATGCAGTTAGGAGAGGAGCCGTCTATCTCCCAAGTGGCGAACAGGTTCATAGGCACCGGTCTGTTTAGCGCCCCGCTCCCGGGGAAGCTTAACCGGCCACTTCTTTCCGCCATGCTGGCTGCTGGTGTCCCGTTCACCTCCACCGACACGGTGAGCAAACTTCTCCCTCAGGAACGCGCTGAACCTAAATCCTTCCCGCTGTTAATCCGCTGCTCTACGGAGCCGGGTTACCGTTCACGGGTGGCGCAGCGATTCTCGTGCGGTGTCTGCGCGCAGCTTCATGCCGCTGTGGCTCGGAGTTTCCACACCGTGCATCGAGCGCTCGCGACAAGAAACTGCAGCAGCAGTCGCTCGCCGCAGGAAGTCACGTGACCCCGGGTTGTACCAGCGACTGGCGCATCTGCGCTCTCGCACACTCGGGATGGCCAGTAAATAACGGGACAACTGTAGTGGTAGTGAAAGTACCTAGTGCTGTTTATAAATGAACAGTTACGTCATGCTGGGATTGTACAGTATCACAATACAGTACGATAATTCAAGTTTCAAGTTTTCAAGTTTATTTGTACAGCGCTTTTCACGATACAAATCATTGCAAAGCAACTTTACAGCAAATTAAGTTTCTACAATATTTAGTGGTAGCTTATCAGTGGTGACTGTCAGTTAATGTACATATGGCAGAAATGTACGGAAAAATCAATTAAAGACGTAATCAAACAGACGATGAACACTATTAACAGCAATTATTATATGATGCAATCAAACTTATAGCAAAATGTGGTAGTTCTGTATGTTGTTTCAGGGTTGGCATCATCCCGTGGCAAAAACAGAGAAACAAATAGAGACATAATTAGCGTAGCTGCTGTTCCAACCAAGCAAAATTTATTTGTTTAACCCAAACTAAAGAATAATAATGTGCATTTGATCAGATCATTAATATTATAGTGCTTGCCAGTTCTGGACATTTGGACTTGGGCAAAAAAGCAAGCATGGAGCATTTATTGAATCTACTTCATGATAAAGTTGGTCAAGATAAAATATAAATAAAATAACAATAATGGATGTTAATATAAGGCAATTATCTTTTAAATATTATCTCACAGATATTATTATATTATATTATATTATATTGCCATTCCAAATGTCCAGTATCCTGGACATCAATTTTACTTATATCATAACAATAGCATTCTATAATGATAATATAATATAATAATACAATATTATAAATATACTTATATATTCTTTGATACAAAAAAAATCAAGATTATCCTGATCCCAGTGGATTTCACCAACAAAATGGAATCAAACTTTACAATTGTTAAAACAATACAACATTTGTATCATGTAGATACTTAAATATAGCGGTTCTAAATTCACGTTAAACCACGGCTTCATGGGTTTTTGCTCTATTTTATTTTTGGTTTTGTGCTGGTAATCCTATTGGTATATTTTGCATGGGATCGCTATGCGCGCCGCGTTTGTATCATAGACTGTATAAAAACAGGTTTGTATAAATGGAGAGAGGGATATGCTAATGATAGGAATCTATCCCTTGACGTGATTGGTTATTGAATTTTGTAACGTAGCAAACCAAGGGCTGTTTCAAACCGCGTTTCTGGGACTGCCTTTGGGCAACCACAGTTTTAAGGATGGATTGGCACATGGTTTGTCTAAAAGCAAATGAAAAACAGCACATAGACAAATAAACAACATAATAAACTTGATTTTCACTACAGGGGGACTTTAAATTAAATTAAATTTAATTAGAAAAAGGTTGACCTTTTCTGGTTTTATTTCTAAAATGATGGATAATTATGTGATAGCTTTTTTGCAAACTTTGCAAATTCTGAGCTAACCTAAAATTATCATTCCTTTTTTTTTTTTGCTCCCTTACACCAACTGGTGCTTTCTTATGGAAATGCAAATCCAGTTTTATTAATGTTATTATTATTACTGTTTTTTTTTTCAAAATGTATAAAAGTATGCTTTTTAAATGTATTTATTTATTTTGCTGTGTCTATAAAACGCTGCAGATATTGTCAATGACAACGTGTTATTGAAAGAGCAAAAGGACAAGCTGTTCCAGTTGTATTTATAGTAATGAACTATTTTCCAACTCACGCCATTTGTGTATGTGTGTTTGTATTCTCATCAGTACGGCACAAATTGCTCTTAGCCCTCTGATCTCAAAGCGCTTCTGTTGTTTGTTTGCAGTTTGATGTTATCTGTTTGCCCTTGAGGACCAGAGCGTCGCAGTGCAGAGGACACTAGTTTTATGAGCGAAAAGAATAAATGACCGGCAGAGGCATGGAGGGAGGGTGTTTTGTCCTTGGGACACTGCAGATATTACAATATCGCCTCCCATTCATACTTCTCAATATGTGGTTGCCAGGTTCCTCATAGCAACAGAGATCAATTTATAAAATACAGTCTGCAAGTGTGCTTCTCATACCGTATTGACTGAATCAATAACTCCCGGTTTCTGTGCGGTGTACATGTTGAGGCCCTAGATCAGGGATGGGCCCCGTATACGGCCCGCAGTGTCTTTTAGTACGGCCCGCTGGATCATATTAGACTCGGATTATCAATTTTAAAGGGGTCATATGATGCGATTTCATTTTTTCCTTTCTCTTTAGAGTGTTACAAGCTCTTGGTGCATAAAGAAGATCTGTAAAGTTGCAAAGACTAAAGTCTCAAATCCAAAGAGATATTCTTTATAAAAGTTAAGAGTTAGCCACACCTACCTAAAACGGCTCGTTCGAACACGCCCCCACATACCTACCTCACTATGTGGGAAGATTTGCATAACACCGCCCAAATGTTCACGCAAAGAAAGAAGACGTAACTTTTATTCTCGCTGCTTTTTCAATAAGCCCATCTGCTATTTTTGCTACATATTTTTATATGTGAACCAGTGGATCGACAAAAGCTAATGCATTATAAAAATCTAAACAATTAAGACACTAAGATATATTTATATGTTATTTAATATAATTAATTGATAATAATTGTTTAAATTAATATAGTAATTGATACTTTTGACTCATCCCTTTTCTTAAAAATTGTTTAAAGGCTGAAATGTGAAGTGCAGATCTTAAAAAGGTCTTAAATTTGATTTAAAACATTTTTATACCATTTGGAATAACTTTTTTTTAAGCCCTTTTTAACGGTCCTTTTAGGTTGTTTTGAGAATGTTCTGTAGGCTACTAATAAAAATAGTACCTCTGTATATTTGTTTGTTGCAAATTTACAGACAATGCAATTGAAATGTTTACATTGGCTTGTTGGGGTAATTTCTGTCCACTGACAATTTTTCCTTCTGAATTAGCATAACTGCACAAGTTTTATACTTAAAATCTTTGAAAACAAATGACATTAGTTATACTTTCCTTTCCTTCAATAAAAAGGAAATAGAGTAAGACAGTGTAAAAGGTGTGTGGACGTGGATTAGTAATCTGGCCCCTTGGTATAAAGGAGAAAACACGCTGGCCCTCGTCACTATCAAAGTTGCCCATCCGTGCCCTAGATGTTGGAACTGTATCGATTCACAGACATGCAGCCGCTCAGTTATTTTTATAGTCAGTCCATTAAACTCTAAAATAGACAGTTGTTTGGTACAGAAACTCTAAGAAGGTGATCTGTACTTTTTCAGAAATCAAAATTCACTTTTGTTCACCAAGTCCAAGCTTAAATTTCTAAAATATGATAGTGTTAAACTCAAACTGTACACGTCTGGTCTTAGACTCCTGTGCAAACTATGAAGCAGCATCACCTAGTGGACTAGCAGAGACTGAATTTTTTAAATGTAAGTGACTAATGCACAATGAGGACAAACAAGTTTTTATAGCAATTCAGAGGTAACAGTTAAAGTTAAAAGGTAGATATTAAGCTTTGGTGTTTCTAACCAATGCAGAGGCACACTAATCAAACTGAGCACACTAGAAATAACACTTCAAACTTCTTTCTCTGCCAAATACCAATATACTTTATTCCAGAGTGTATATACAGACCTAACCTGTTGAATCACTTTAGTCAAAGTGAATCACCATAAAGACTCAAAAACAAAAATTACCAGGCGAGTTTGAGAAACAAAGCCCACATACATTTCTCTACAGAAGTACTCCAGGATTGATATTGATCAAATAAAAATAGAAATCAAAACAAGACATTGTGAAAAATCTAATCTTAACCCATTCCATTACCACTTAAACCCACCCAGTTCCTCAAAATAAGAAATAAATCAAAACATCCTCATACACACACACTCATCCATTCAACTCACAGTAAGTAATTTACACTAAAGTAGCACAATGACATATGCCACATTAAGTGAAGGGAGAAAAAAAAAAAAGTCAGTCTCGCTCATCCACACACATTCATAATTAGTTTCAGTGCTGACTCTCTGCAGAAGCAGATCGGGAGCGGCTCTGTTTCCTCTGAGGAGTAGGAGAGCGGGAAGGAGACCGGTTGCTGGTACTCTTCTTCTCTGGGGTGCGACTGGCTGAGCGACTGCGAGAGCGCTTGCTTCCACGCTCAGGGGTGCGACTTCGACTGGGTGATCGGGAACGGGAGCTGCTCCTGCTGCGGGAACGACTCCTACTACGACTGCGGAGAGAAGAAAAACAGGTTAAGATTGTGTCAGGGTTTCTGCAGGTTTTATGAAGGTAAACGTAAGAATTTAAGTAAATTAAAAGAGAACGTAACGTTCTTTAAATGTAACTGACGAAGGAACGCACAATAATTGTATTAAGCAACACTAACTTTGAAAATACAACTTCCAACCAATTTTTTAATTTTACATAAAGCCTAAGACAGGTTTGGATATTTATAATGGAAAACAAAAATTTAGGGGGAGGATATTCATGTTTTGCAATGCATACAACATTTAATGTCATGACTCCATGAAGACGACTTTCTGCTTTGATTTAGGGCCTTTTTAAGGCTTAAAATTGTGGTAGGATGAATTCATTTTAAGGCCTAAAGAAACCTTGTGTGAGAACGGAGATTGTCTGGTACGTACTCCCTCTTGCGATCCTCGTATAGCTTGAGTTTGCGTCCATTCAGATCTGTTCCATCCAGCTTGTCAATGGCATTCTTCATATCACTGTGTGAAGCAAACTCCACCACCCTGTAAAACAAATCAGGACAACTCGTTTACAACCATGTAACAGTTAGAGCACAGTCTTATGCGTACATGCACAAGATCTTACCCCTCATTCTTCTTGGTCCTGTGTGCATCCACAAAGGTCACTTCTCCCACCTTCCTCATCAAGTCCTTCAGATCCTGCAGAAAGCACAGAAAGCACTTAATGACACGCTTTCAGAGAAACCCAAAAGCACTGAGTCACACACTGCACTTTGGCACCCACACATTAAGAACACACACTGCATTCTGCAGCATCTGCTCTAAAGTGTGCACTGGTGCACCTGTAG